GACCCCTGCACCGTGCCAGAAGCCCCAGTCCTTCCTATCTGTCGAATATATGTATTCCACCTGAGTATCGCGTCTTCATTCGTCTTCAGAAAAGTCTTGGAGCTCTACATCTATGTTTACGAAGCTATTGGATGAAGCATATTCGCGAGCAGATGTGATACTTGCCTGACTAGCAGACAGGGTCTTGAGAACATGTCTGATCTTACACGACCCATATTTATTGCATCCTTATAAGTAACCTGATAGAATTTATCCAACTAAGGAAGCTAGGCCGTACTTGTCATCATTGACATCTATTAGCGTGCTACAAAACGGAGTAAAATTTGCGACAAATTCTGTGTAATCTCATCAAGCATACGTCATTGCAAGCAAAAATTTCCATGTAGAGTTGTTCTACCCTCAATTAAGCGTAAGGATTGCAAACTTTCGATTTTATAGTTGATTTTATGGAGAGAGAAAATAGAGTAACCCCTGTTTAAAACACGAGGTTGTGCTCAGTTTGGCACTTTTTTCTATATAAAGTGGTCTCATTCCATAGAACAAGTAAATGCCGAATTTATGCATATACATACATATATACGGCTTCCATTTCGACGGTAACAGTCAGTTTCTGACATCCCTCCCATGGTTAAATAATTTAAGAGAGAAAACTAAAGTTCTGTGAATGGGGGAAGTAATTTTGAAAAGAATGAGCAACGCTCCCCCAAGTGAAGTCAGTTGTCGAGGCATGTGCTCTCAATGAAGACCTTGGCGGCCACCTTCAGGTGGAAGTAGCGCAGGAAGAGGGGCGATCGCTTGCACATCTCGTAGGCGGTGCTCAATTTATTTATCCCATCAATGAGCAAGTCAATGCGGCTTTGCAATTCACTATTTTTCTCTCTCAATTTCTCCGTTTCTCGTGCCAGTTGCTCTGTTGTCAAGGCTACAAGCAAATAGTTGAATATTTGTTAAGCCAAGTGGTCGTTAAGCTTATCTCAAGCAAACAAACGAACGCTTTTTTTATTTAGAAGAATGGGAATGCCCTATCTCTTAATTAAACCGAAATTACAACCTAAGGTATTTTAACGTCAGGAAGTAAAGAAAGAAAAGAAGACTCGTGCAAATGCGACGCCAGAATAGGTAAAAGTTTAAATGGTACTAAAATAGTAGCTCAGGAATGATTTCGTTAATAAAGTAAAGTAAATAAAATTTAACTTATTTGTTTGTTAGTAGGGAATTTCAAACTTTCGGCCTTGGGCTGTGTCAGCTCTGGGGAGTTAATTTAACTCTAAGTCTTGGACGAACCTGATGGACGTGGGTAAGCAGCTTTCAAGTATGCAGAAGTATCTCGTTGAATTTGTGGTAGAGCGGACTCTGTTGTTCAAAAGAGGCTTGCATGATTCGTTTCTGCTAATAAGACACTTTTGGGTAAATGCATAGCGTTGATTGAGACCCTTGATCATTCAATTAGATGAATTAAGGGCTAACCGTCTACATTAACCTTTGATAACGTATGATATGAATAATGCAGCAAGTAGTTAATGGCCACCTCAGTTGCCAAGGTCATGGAGCAGACTGAACAAGGGGGTTTTATCCCACATGCATTAATAGATGACAATGGGTCTAAAAGGCAAACAGTTTTTCTTCATAACCTCGGCGTACTTTGCAAAAACGCATAATTGTTTGTTGGCCTTTGTGTCCCTTAAGCAAAACAACACAACTTTGGTTTCCCTTAAGTCATCCCCCTACCCATCCTCTTGTCTAAAAGGTGCACCACCTCATCCCCAGGTGCTTTGTTATCAGCGGAGAGACGCTGATAACCTGATAGATCGAGACGCCAATTTCTTGGACGAGCACGATGCTTTAAGAAGCTTTTTGCAACACACCGTAAAAAACAAATTGGTGTCCTTACCAAGGATAATCAGATTGCCATTTTTCAAGGCATACGCTCAAAAATTCGCTTAGTTCCTTTTATCCACACGAAAGTCTTCAGCTTCTGATTAGGCAGATTTGGAGCAATAAAGACATGCGATTTCGTTCCATAGTTAATAATTAGTAGAAGAGTTTTTATGTTATAAAAGAAAATATTTTCCCTAACCTATAAAAGAAATCCATGAATACTATGCAATATCTTGCGTATATTACTATTTATTGCATGATAGTTTGTAAGAACAAATAAGTAGTGGAAGGGACCAAAAGCAAACAAAGGTACTGCGAGGCAAATGGTAAATATAGTATAACAGGTTACAGGAAGTTTAAAATCTACTCTTAGTAAAAAAACAGAAGGAATTGTCGTAT